AGCAAATCCAAAATAGCAAATCCGCGATGATCAGCCACCTGTACCCTGAGAACAAATTAGTTGCAGTGGTTTGAAGAATAAACATCATAAAGAAGATTAAGGAAATGAACGTGGAGTGGATAAAATTTTTTTTTGTTAGGTTCTTCATAAAAAAATACCATGCCAATTATAATTTATATTTTCCCCTGAAAGTTAAGGGCCTTACTGGAAAAAATATGTATATACAGAGACTGGTATTGAAGCTAGTGTTTCTCATGAAATTTGTTTTAAGTCAAAACTCAATCACCCATCGTAAATTTAAAACAGGTTGAGTAAGAGCGTTTTCTCTAAAGTCTCTATTTTTATTGGACACCTATATGATATATTCACTAATTACATTGACTACATTTATTCTGTAAAAAAGCTGGATTTATTTCAACCATTTTATATTATATACATGTTTATGTACATAAGTTGATTTCCCAATATTAAATGAGAAAAAATTTCTAGAATTTAATTCTTAATAATCTTGAACTTTAAACTTTTTATTTTTGCCCCCCCCCCCCCCGGGAAGAGCTTTACAACTAATTTACATATAGTGCAAGTATGCTACTGCATTACAAGATCGACTTTTTGGTAAAATTTATCTATGTTAAAGTTGATTAAGTGAAATTATCGGAGGGGGGGGGGGGGGTAACTACCCCCAGGATTCTGGTTGGGGGGGGGGGTACTTAAACTCAATAACTCCCCCTATATACGCCACTGATTAAACATATAAAAAGTGGATGTATAGAATTTGATAATTAAAAGGGCAGCTAACGTAATTTCAAGTGACCCTCCCTGCAAAGATAGTAATGCTTGATTAACAACGGTATTCTTAAACGCTTTGTCTGATCAAATACAAATTATATATGCACGATTCATTTATTTAATTTTTATTTCTGGTTTTTCTGGAAAAGTTACTTGAGCTAACACTCCCTTTAAATAATGAAAAGTTACTTGAGCTAACACTCCCTTTAAATAATGAAAGTTACTTGAGCTAACACTCCCTTTAAATAATGAAAAAAGGGTTGTAAGAGAACGATAAAAAGAGAAAGAGATGAAAGGTATGACCGAGAAGAACTGAAGAAAAATTATGCTGAGAAAACATGTTAAAAAAACAAGATCAACATTTGTCATTCAGACTCTGTTGGTTTTTCTCACAATGAAAAACAAAAATGAAAACTTTGATAAAAGAGAAAAGGGAACACTTGAGTTCTACTTGGATAGATCACATTCTAAATATTCAATATTTTTCAACAAAATAATAAAACAGATTCTTCTAGAACAGATTCTGTTACTTCTATTCTTCTAGTACAGATTCTTCTAGAACAGATTCTGTTACTTCTATTCTTCTAGCACAGATTCTTCTAAAACAGATATTTCAAATACAGATTCTTCAAGTACAGATTCTTCAACTACATATTCTTCTAGTACAGATTCTTCAAGTACATATTCTTCAAGTACATATTCTTCAAGTACAGATTCTTTAAGTACAGATTCTTCAAGTACAGATTCTTCAAGTACAGATTCTTCAAGTACAGATTCTTCAAGTACATATTCTTCTAGTACAGACTCTGATCTACTATAGATTCTTCTAGCTTCTAGAACAGATTTTTCTGGTACAGATTCTTCAAGTACAGACTCTTCAAGTACAGAATCATCAAGTAAAGATTCTTCTAGATCAGATTCTTCTAGTACAGATTTTGATCTAGTACAGATTCTTCAAGTACAGATTCTTCTAGTACAGGTTCTTCAAGTACAGATTCTTTTAGTAAAGATTCTCCTAGTTTCTCTGAGAACAGATTCTTTAAGTACAGCTTCTTCTAGTACAGATTCTTCATAGTACAGATTCGTATAACAAATTAAGTAGATATTTTCGCTTACTGTTTAAGTCTTTCAGTTGAATGAAATGTAACTTTATTTAGTCCGTAAAAATCAGAAAGAATAATAATGACAACAAATGAAAAAAATTAGGGGACATGTATAAATTAAGAGGGGATTGGATATAGAGAAAAATTTAAGTCCAAAAACTTTATAGCACGTTGTGCCAAAATAATAGTATCACAGGTAATTTTATGAAACGTTTGTGTACTTGTCTTATTTCAATGGCTATTTCTAGATCAAATAAGCTTTGAAGCAAAGCATAAGTCTAAGTATGAAGTTGATTTAAATTTTATTATATTTTCAATTGAAAAAAAATATTTTGGAAATATCCTAAATTTTTTGGAGAAAATCCGGGAACCAATAAAAAATTTATAGAAAACGTGCTATAATGTAAAGCTAATTTAGCTTTATAGCACGTTCATTATGAAATTCACGATGAAGTGAGGAAGAATTATAAAGTACACAAAAGTAGCGCCGAGAATGGTTGAGCAAAAAGAAGTAAGTAAAAATGAGAACCTGCAGACGTCAGTTTAGAAAGGAGAAAAAAATAAAAATACATATTAACTATTATACCATTTAGATTTATAAAAATCACATAAAAGAATAAATAGTTAAAAAAAATGTCTTTATAAATCTTGTTTTGAAGCTATTGGATGATAAAAAGCTGGTAAAGATATAAAGTTAAATATTGTTGCACAACTGTTCCTACAAGATGATTATATTGCATTTGTATTTAATAACAAACCTGTTCTTCGCTATTTTTATTAGAAAATCTTTGCAAACCTCGCTTTCTCTAGGTTTTCCCGTGCAAAAATGTTTACTTTTGTGCATTATCAAGAAGGTTCCATTAAGTCCGACAAAATTTTTTGCTTTCACCATTTTTTTCAGATCCAACCAGTTTCCTGCAAGAAAAAATTACTGGTTAAAGGGAGTGTTCGCGAAAAATGAAAGGGGGTATAGGGTGTGCATGTAGTACACAGTAGTCCAAAGTGTCCATGTAGTACACAGTAGTCCAAAGTGTGCATGTAGTACACAGTAGTTCAAAGTGTGCATGTAGTACACAGTAATCCAAAGTGTGCATGTAGTACAGAGTAGTCCAAAGTGTTCATGTAGTACACAGTAGTCCAAAGTGTACATGTAGTACACAGTAGTCCAAAGTGTGCATGTAGTACACAGTAATCCAAAGTGTGCATGTAGTACACAGTAGTTCAAAGTTTGCATGTACTACACAGTAGTCCAAAGTGTGCATGTAGTATACAATAGTCCAAAGTGTGCACAGTAGTCTAAAGTGTGCATGTAGTACACAGTAATTCAAAGTGTGCATGTAGTACACAATATTCCAAAGTGTGCATGTAGTACACATTATTCCAAAATGTGTATGTAGTAAGTACACAGTATTCCAAAGTGTGCATGTAGTACAGAGTAGTCCAAAGTGTGCATTTAGTACACAGTAATTCAAAGTGTGCATGTAGTACACAGTAATTCAAAGTGTGCATGTAGTACACAGTAATTCAAAGTGTGCATGCAGTACACAGTATTCCAAAGTGTGTATGTAGTACACAGTAATTCAAAGTGTGCATGTAGTACACAGTAGTCAAAAGTGTGCATGTAGTACACAGTATTCCAAAGTGTGCAGGTAGTACACAGTAGTCCAAACTGTACATTAATCTATAAACAGTTTGTCAATACCCCATTTTAAGTAAAGTCAACCCGGTCAAGAAAATTTATTTACAATTTTTATCTCTGTGAGTTAAGATTCACTCTTAAAAACGATTTGAAAAATTGACCATTAATAAATTTCTTTTAAAATTATAATTCTTTAAAAAAACAATAGTCCTGCTTTTTGTGGTTTCAAAAATACCGGCGATGTTAAGAACTTCGTTCAGATTTAAAACAATTAAATAAAATACAAAATTGTCTAGATAATCTGAGCAAAAGCTTTAAGTTTTTTATCTAAGCAGCCATGAGGAAGATAACCTCGTTTTTCCATCTTAACTGTTGAATTCTGTAATTAACGTTATTTGTTTCTGCTGCAGTATAAAACCGCAGAAAATTAGACATTTCTCTGACAATGTGAAGAAACAATCTCAGGAACTGACGAGGGTCAACCCAGAACGAAATATATTTTCAATAAATGGTGGAACTAACATCTACTTTTTTTACTCTACAGAGGTTTGGTCCATCACCATCACCGAATTTTAAATAAAGGAAATACCTTTGTAAATATACAGTCTATTAAAGTCTACAGTCCATTAAATTAGGATTTTGGGATGTGTTATTTATCTTTATTTTGAAGTGCAAGATTTGAACAAATTTAGCAGCTTGCAAATCACTCAGCAGTTATTTAGCGCTTTAAATTGTCGTCTTTCGTTCGAAGATTTTTACAATTCTTTTATCTACCATTGCAGACCTTCTGTTGAGGAAGATTTGGGATTAAAGAAATATCTTTAAACAAAAATTTCATTTAGATTATTATAGATATCTTTAAAAATGTTAAAACATCGTTAACACTATAGCAAAACAGCAGCAATAGATTGTATTCTTTATAAAATATAAAGCGAATATATGTACATTGATGACCTTTACATCTACTAACACATGTTATTAAGATAATAAAAGAAACGAATTACTCGATTAAAACTCCAATTTCTAATCACTTTATCTTTGTAACCCTTTGAATAATGATACTGCAAAGTTGACTATTTAATGTACAGAGTGTCCCAAAAAACATGGGAATTCAGTGACGAATTCGATATCGTCTTCGTTATTAATTAGCATTATAATACCTAATATCAAAAGCAATAATATTATTATGTCTGCTAGAGTTTATTTTATGAAAACGGTAAAAGACTGTAAAGATGTGTCTATAATGGCTCCGCACGATGAACAGTGAAGACGGACAAGTTTACTCTGTTTGATTACTGCAATTTTCTTGTTTAACTAAGTACAACCGTATGCAGTCAAAACATAAACAAACAAATTGTAAACATAGGAGACGAAACTCTTACAGATTACAGCTTTCTCATTAGGTATTACTATACTAAATCAAAGAATTATTTAAAAAGACGATATCGAATTCGTCACTGAATTCCCATGTTTTTTGGGACACCCTGTATCAAAATTATAGTTAGATATTTCAAAGTACATCATAAGGCCTAGAAAATTGGAGTTTAAGGTGTGTGATCGATTCCTTTGAGTAAAAGTGAACCAAGGTCGATTTTAAAGCTGGACCAACTGGAGATCAGGGAGATCAGGTTTATGATTGCCAAAGCTCCGGGTACATATGAATAAGATCCAGGGATACTCCGTTGCTCCAACCGAACCCAAGCTGAACAGAGTACTCCCCTCCACTCCCTCCACCCGTCTCCGTGCTCCGACAATCATACTAAATCAAAATTAAATGAGGTTAACTCGATCTATCCTTGCAAGAAAAAAAATACATAAATCGATCTCTAATTGGTCATATCCCCTAAGAAAAAATAGGATTTACAAATTTCTTCTATTTAAAAGATTCCCATTTAGAAGAGACGATTAATTCGATTAATATTTAATGGCAAAAATGACGAAAAAAATGTTATTCTATCTCTAATTTAAGATTTGCAATTTAAGCTTTCGTTTTTCTTCCCTATTTTTTGGGTTTAATCATTTAAACAAAATTCAATTAGGTTTATTCTAATCTAACCTTTTCAAACATATGCCCTTGAGATTTGAAAACTTGAAGATTTCGCGAGATTGTCGTCTTCGTTAGTTCTCTGGCGAGTTTATCGGCTGATTCGTCCTTGCATCGTCCCAAACCTGAAATACAGATAAATATCACACATATATGGATATGCGTTATCTTTTATACATTTATTTAAAAAAAATTGAAATTGCAAGACGATATTTAACGAAGTCCACCGAGTAACAATTTATATAAGTTTAAAATATTTGATATTGTCTACTTCAAATCCAGAATGATATGAAAAGTTGCATCAATTTTAAAGACCGGGTTCACTTTAATTGGAAGCAACACTTTGACCTTTGATTTTACCTCATAAACTCATTTATACATTTTTTAGTTCACATTTGATTTAGCTTTAATTATAATGAAGTAATTGGAAAATTCTCATTTAACTTTTGTATCAAGCTGTGTGAGGGACTCGATCTTACGATATAATAATTATGAATCTTAAGAAAATAAGTCGCTGGTGTTTATTTGTACAACCTGTAATGATCATATGCTCCAGGGGTGGCCAGACATTTGGGAAATCCCACTGTTGTCCTGACTGTATGAAAGTTGTAGGGATTCCTTCTGCAAAAATATAAAATTCAGTATTTCGAAGACGACATTTGAATTCGTATTCGTACCTGGATTGTTTAATGCGCCAACTTTTTGAATGTATTCAACAGATCTTCGCCCTTTCATCTTCAAATCCTGAAAAGTATTTTCAAATTTAATTAAGTGAACAATAAAAAAGACAGGGTTACCCACTAAGGATATTTAGGTCGTCTTTACAGTCTCATTCTTTGTGGGTAGCCTTGTACAAAATCCTCAGCGACATTTTAAAGTAAAAGAAAAAAAGTCGACATTCATTTCATAGTCTTCTGGTTCTCTCTTTAATTAATTATCTAATTTTAAATTGATCGCAACATTTCACAATATAAGTCTGAACAAAATAATAATATTCCAATTTAAACCAGTTTTTCTGAAAATAACATTTTTATAACACTAATATTTTTGTTTACATTGCTCAGAGAAATTTTGCACACAAATTTTCTCTTTATCGAGAAGTATCATAGCTTTGCTAGAATATGATCTAAAAAATGAAAAGTGTCAAAGATAATTTTATGAAATGTTGGTTTAGCGTCCACAGTTGTCTTGATCATACATAAGTTTAATTATTTTTAAGTTTCTTTTCATTAAATTGATAACTATTTTGCATAAGATAAATTGGCACCCTGATCTCTAATAGTTCTCCTTAAATCTATTAAATTGAAATGTTTTGTTATTATTATTGAAATTAGGTGGAAAAAAATAATCAAAACAGCTAAGAGCTATTTTCCACCTAATTGCTTTATACCTGTACTGTTAATATAATCATCAATTTGTAATTGTAAACTCGTTCTGTATACAGATCAATGTATTTTAGCAATAAACTTTATATAATCTTATCTTATCTTACTCTAGAAATATCCAAATTAAATTCACAGTGCATGCATACAATTTGAGATTAAAGCACTATGATATTTTTACAGCACTGCTATAATGAAATAGACCATGAAATAAGCATAAATGATAAGGTCGACGAATCATAATAAATTTGTAAAATAATTCACCTGGGTAGGAACAGCATTTGCCCAAAGAGGAGTGAGGTTGCTAGCGAAAAAATATTTTCTAAACATTGAAATAAACTTATTTGGAAAATTATAAAAAAAACATTATTTTCGTATTTTTGTTATAAAGCACTATCTTAAGAACATAATATCCAAAATTCTTAATTTAATTCTACAAATATCGATTCCGTTTTCGATCCTTTTCCTACCGGAAGATCATAATCATCTAAAAATCAAAACTTTTCATAATCGGTTTCTTACAGTTTGCTATTTTGTTTGTTTAGGTAAATATGCGTTCCGATTAATAGTTTCGCATCAATCATAATTTGATTCAAGGTTCAACCGTTTTTTTGCAACTACTTAAACTTTATAAACAATAAATAAGAAAGCAAGAAATAATTTTAAATAATTCGGCCTGTATAGTGTATAGTGTGAAGTGTATAAGTGAAGAAGCTGAAGTAATCTAATTTGTTTTGTTTACAACAGTTTAATTTTCTTTGTTTACCATTGTCCCTGGTTTCAAGTGTTTTTACCAGAACTCAAGTTCTTTTCAACAACTCATTAAGTTCCCTAACTTCCCCCCTCCTTCTACTCCCTTGTCCCCCTCCCTCTAAACATATAAAGGGATGTGTTCCTAGTTAAGCATCAACTTTTGAGACCGGGCCAAATTTAAATTTTCACATTTCAACACACTTGTACTTTTTGTTACCTGGACATTTTAAATTGTTTAAAGTATTTTTTAAAATTTTGGTCAGAATATGGATGGTTTATTTAGCAGACATTTAAATAAAATTGATCAAACCTTAATTTTATAAACTCTATGATTCTTAATTCTCTCTGCACACAACGAGCTCATGACCCTGACCGTACCTTTGTTTCAGCGTTGATATCTCCAGATCAAACCATGTTCCTTCTTCGTCATTCCACATCAGTTCTTCAATATTTTCTATCAGTTTATCAGCTCGTTCCATCCATATATTCTCCTTAATATAATCAGTTCTTCAATTTGTTCTCTCAGTTTATCAGCTCGTTCCATCCATACATTCTCCTTTATATAATCAGTTCTTCAATATTTTCTATCAGTTTATCAGCTCGTTCCATCCATACATTCTCCTTAATATAATCAGTTCTTCAATATTTTCTATCAGTTTATCAGCTCGTTCCATCCAAGTATTCTCCTAAATATAATCAGTTCTTGAATATTTTCTATCAGTTTATCAAATCGTTTCATCCATACATTCTCCTTAATATAATCAGTTCTTCAATATTTTCAATCAGTTTATCAGCTCGTTCCATCCATACATTCTCCTTAATATAATCAGTTCTTCAATATTTTCTATTAGTTTATCAGCTCGTTTCATCCATGCATTCTCTTTAATATAATCAGTTCTTCAATATTTTCTATCAGTTTATCAGAATGTTTCATCAATACATTCTCCTTAATATAATCAGTTCTTCAATATTTTCTATCAGTTTATCAGCTCGTTCCATCCATACATTCTCCTTAATATAATCAGTTCTTTAAAACTTTTTTTTCAATTTATCAGTGCTCTTAAATACTTTTTTTTCTTAAAACCTTTAATTTTAAGCCTTAAATTAGATTCCAGGTTTTCAATTTTGGATATGTTGAAAACAAACATTCAAAGTCAAACATGTAAAAAAAGTATAGTCTCAGATATAAGCTTGCAAACTAAATGTTCAACAATTACAAACTCGGTAGATAAATGAGTCAAAGATTTAAAGGGTACATGGTGTGTCCCTTGTGTCACTTATCTATGAATATTTAAGAATTATATTTTGTTTAAAAACAAAATAAATCAAATTTTTCTTGATTAATTTTTTAAAATTTCACCATAAATGATTCCTTGGGTCAAACAAACCAACCAACACCCAGATTAGCTAAGCATATAAACAGGAATACCTGGTCTCTGTTTCCCGCCAGTTTGTGTACATCTGCAATAATTTTGGCGGATTTTGCTAAAAATGAGTTTAAATCTACAGGTAGAATATTTCTAACACTAGTAGAACTTAGATCTCCCTTCTCTGGATCATCAAACCATCTAAAAGTAACAATTCAAATAAAATCTTAAATAAAAAGATTTAAATATATTTTCAATTCAGCTTGATCACCTTGAACTAAAATCCCAACCAGACTCGGCTGCAGACCTGAAATTTTAAGTTTGTATCAACAAGAACACTCTAAAAAATGCAATTTTGGTCTTTAGCATCAGGCATCAAAGTTCTTCTTTCATATTTCAAATTTCTTCTTTCATTACTCAAATTTAGTTAAATATTTTCCAAAATTACAATCTAACAAAACTTGTTAATAGCTTACACATTGTTCTCTCAGCATGTGTCAAATTTTGTTATATGACATCTTTCTTTTGTCATGTTACAGTTTTCTTTCATTGTAATTAGCCGATATTTTAGTTTGTGTAAGATTAAACAAATTTTGATTTATGATCAATCAAACGTTGAACCATCTGCCGGGCTGGCACGGCTCGCACGGCTGGCTGGAGGGGGAGAATCAGCTGACTTTCCAAACAGTTTAGTCTGTTAGCCGACAGCGCTTGTACCTACGTCAATTCGATCTGGAAATTTGGAGATATCAAAAAGATTTAAAGGGAAACCTCCAAGAAACTGGAAGAACAAAATTAAAACTTTTTTAAGCCTTTGTACACTCTCTCAAACTAATGCTTGCATTTTCAATGCTTTGCTTGAAAGAGAGTATCAATGCAAAATCAAATCAAGCGGACAAACACCGGTTGATAGATCATGTAACAAACTTTGAATTAAGGCGACTGAAAATACATTCAACAAAATTTGACGAATGATTCTACTAAGGTGTATTTGAGTCCGGTGCTCCAACAAATTTTGTTAGATGAAAATTTGAGATTTCTTAGAGTGAACACTGTGGTTTAAAGTTTGTATCAACAAGAACACTGTGGTTTAAAGTTTGTATCAACAAGAACACTGTGGTTTAAAGGTCTCAAGCTCTCAAGTAAAACTGATGAGAATTTTGCCAATTACTCCTAAACCAAAGCTAACAACAAGTGCTCTATAGGGCTAAAATGTACACGTAAAGGGCTACAGAAAAGCATAAGTGAGTTTTAGAGTGGTAAAATCAAAGCCTAAGGCGTTGCGACACTTCAAAGTCGACCCTACCGTAACCATTGATGAGACATTACATTTAAGAAGGCTGAATCTATGTGATATTTGATATTTCAAACTAATAATTATGTTAGATAAAATAATGTAAGATTAGAATATAAAAACATTCATGTTGCAAAGATATAGGGATTAGAAATATTGAGTTGGTAACAAAGACTTTATTCCTTCAAAAAATTTGTACATCTAGGTTCGCTGTTAAACTCTAAACTCATCTGTATCTTCTATATCCAGGTTCTCTAATAACTATAATCCTCTCTCTAGGATAAATATCCAACCTTAGATCCTTGAATAGTTCTCCTCTTTCCTTTATATCCAGGTTCTCTACTTAACTATAATCCTCTCTCTAGGATGAATATCCAACCTTAGTTCCTTGAATAGTTCTCCTCTATCCTTTAGGTTCTCTACTTAACTATAATCCTCTCTCTAGGAAGAAAATCCAACCTAAGTTCCTTGAATAGTTCTCCTCTATCCTCTATATCTAAGTTCTCTGCTAAACTGTAATCCTCTCTGTAGGATTCTGGGCGTGGAGTTTCTTCAGAACAACTAAAAATTTTAATTTTTACTTTATATATTTTAAAAAACTTGGAAAAAAATAAACCTACCAATATCTAAACATTGTTTTTCCTTGGACATCAACCGAATGATTCCTCAACCAATAATACCACTCTTTCTCCAGAGACCCAACCTTACTCAGGGTCCAAGGCACATCACCACTCTAGGTTCAAATTATTTAAAGATTAAGTTTAAGTTTAGGTTTGGATTCAAAATGAGGAATAGTTTTAGGTTCAGGCTCAGGTTCAAGTTCATGTTCAAGTTCAGGTTCAAGGTTCAGGTTCAAGGTTCAGGTTTAGGTTCAGGTTTAGGTTCAGGTTCAGGTTCAAGTTTAGGTTCAGATTCAGGTTTCAGGTTTAAGTTCAATTAAGCACCAGGTTAAAGGTTCTGGTTCAGGTTTAGGTTTAGGTGCAGGTTCAGGTTCAAAAATCAGGTTTAGGGTTCAGATTCAAGGTTCAGGTTAGATTCAGGTTCAGGGTTAAAGTTCAAGGTTCAAGGTTCAGGTTCAAGGTTCAGGTTCAAGGTTCAAGGCTTAAGTTTCTTGGTTCAGGTCCAGGGTGCAGATTCAAGGTGCAGGTTCAAGGTAAAGGTGTAGGGTTCATGTTCATAGTTCATGTTTAGGGTTTTAGTTTCAGGGTTCAGGTTTAGGTTTCAGGTTTAGGTTTCAGGTTTAGGTTTCATGTTTAGGGTTCAGTTCAGTGTTCAGGGTTCAGGTTCAAGGTTCAGGTCTTGAATAGTTCAATAAAATACCTGGAGATAGTAGTCCCAAACCATAGATGCTAGGAGAGGGGGCTGAGATCTGGATTTTTTTATTTGGAAATATTTACAGCACAATGTTTTTTTACCTTTTAGAAGAAGTATTGAATTAAGTTCTGGACAGTTTATATTTAGAGATCGAAAGAAACTTATTAACTAATATTTTGAACTGATGAAAATAGGGTTGGGGGCTTTAAAAATATTTAAATCTCCCCTTGTGTAGTAAACTCTTCCTCCATTAGGAACAAAACCTAGTTTCTCAAGAAGAAAAACAAGGTTTTCCACCATTCCTCTAAAAATATATATTTTCTTAAAAGTACATTTATTGTTTACTATCATAATATTCAAAGTAGCATTGTGCATCCTCACTGTGCGTCCTCTATGCGTGTCCTTAACTTGCGTCCTCAATGTGTGTCCCCCCTACATATGTTCTCAATGTGTGTCCCCAATGTGTGTTCCCAATGCGTTGCCTCAATGCGTTTACTCAATGTGTGTCCCAAATGTGTGTCTCAATGTGCTTCCTCAATTTTCTCCTCGTAGTGTTTAGTGCTTCTACAGAAGTACTTACTAATTTTCCACCTAATTTGCGTTCAATTTTCTCTAGTTTTAATAGTAAATCTGAGGTAACCTGGCAGTATCCAGAATCCAGTAAACTAACCTAGCAGTATCTAGCACATTAAATAGAAGTAGACCTCTCAGTATCCAGTATCCAGTGTACTAACCTGGCAGTATCTAGCACATTAAATAGAAGTAGACCTCTCAGTATCCAGTATCCAGTGTACTAACCTGGCAGTATCTAGCATATTAATTGAAGTATACCTCTCAGTATCCAGTATCCAGTAACCTAACCTAGCAGTATCTAGCACATTAAATAGAAGTATACCTCTCAGTATCCAGTATCCAGTAACCTAACCAAGCAGTATCTAGCACATTAAATAGAAGTATACCTCTCAGTATCCAGTATCCAGTAACCTAACCTAGCAGTATCTAGCACATTAAATAGAATTATACCTCTCGGTATCCAATATATATTCAACTAACCTAGCAGTATCTAGCACATTAAATAGAAGTATACCTCTCAGTATCCAGTATCCAGTAACCTAACCTGGTAGTATCTAGCATATTAGATACTAGTAGACCTCTCAGTATCCAGTATCCAGTGTACTAACCTGGCAGTATCTAGCAGATTAAATAGAAGTAGAACTCTCAGTATCCAATATCCAGTAAACTAACCTGGTAGTATCTAGCATATTAGATACAAATAGACCTCTCAGTATCAAGTATCCAGTGTACTAACCTGGCAGTATCTAGCATATGAGATACTAGTAGACCTCTCAGTATCCAGTATCCAGTGTACTAACCTGGCAGTATCTAGCATATTAGATACAGGTAGACCTCTCAGTATCCAGTAAACTAACCTGGCAGTATCTAGCATATTAGATACAAGTAGACCTCTCAGTATCCAGTAAGTGTCCCAGTAATAGATTTCTCGAAATCTGAAATATAAATTCATTATGAAGAAATTTTTTAAACCTTTAATTTAAGTTCTTTTTAACATTCTATTGTAAAGAAAATTTCATTAATTTGCTGTTTTTGAATCTATTTATCCAATGCTACAGAAAAGAATGATAGATTAGTTCAAGCCAGTGCAAGGGGCAAAGATCTACGGATACTCCAAAGGTCGTCGGTCTCAATAGTTTGTAAAATATTTACACAACTGTGGAGGGGGTCGAGGTGGACATTGTATTTTAAAATTGAGAATTGAGATTTAGCCTGGGATAAGAATGAAAGATTCTGGCTGGATGAGATTTACTCTGTCAGGTTGGGTTTATATATTCTCAAGGGAGACATATTGGTAAGAAAAACTTACCAATATGTCTATAAAGGGACAATGCATTGTTAAAAAAAACTGACCAGTATTTTATCAAGAGAAAGTGCATTGTTTAGATAAACTGATCAATATTCTATAAAGAGACAGTGTATTGTTTGGCTAAACTGACCAGTATTCTATAAAAGGACAGTGCAATGTTTAGATAAACTGACCAGTATTCTATAAAGGGACAGTGCATTGTTTAGATAAACTGACCAGTATTCTATAAAGAGACAGTGCATTGTTTAGATAAACTGATCAGTATTCTATAAAGGCAATGTTTAGATAAACTGACCAGTATTCTATAAAGGGACAGTGCATTGTTTAGATAAACTGATCAGTATTCTATAAAGAGACAGTGCATTATTCAGATAAACTGATCAGTATTCTATAAAGGGACAGTGCATTGTTTAGATAAATTGATCAGTATTCTGTAAAGGGACAGTGCATTGTTTAGATAAACTAACCAGTATTCTATAAAGAGACAGTGCATTGTTTAGATAAACTGATCAGTATTCTATAAAGGGACAGTGCATTGTTTAGATAAACTAACCAGTATTCTATAAAGAGACAGTGCATTGTTTAGATAAACTGATCAGTATATTATTAAGAAAAACTGACCAGAATTCTAAAAAAGGGACAGTGCATTGTTAAGAAAAACTTATCTGTATTCTATAAAGGGACAGTGCATTGCTAAGAAAAACTGACAAGTATTTTATAAAGGGACAGTGCAGTATTCTATTTAATTAGATAAAACATGAAAATGGAGGTAATACAATCGTGCAAAGGTTATATCACTACCTGCCCCCTGGCACTACGGCAGTGTAGGGAAGTGGAAGAAGAGAGAATAATTCCGGATTCTTGTTTACATCTTCTCCTGTTCTTCTTCCTAACATCTTCCATCTTCTAAAATAAAATGGATAAAAGAACAAATCAAAAAGCATCGATCGAATTAAATGAATAAAAAGACTTTGATACTCCTTCTCCTCCTTCTCCTCTTTCTCTTCCTTCTCTTCCTTTTCCTCCTTCTCCTCCTTCTCCTCCTTCTCCTCCTTCTCCACCTTCTCCTCCTTCTCCTCCTTTTCCTTCTTCTCCTCCTTCTCCTCCTTCTCCTCCTTCTTTTCCTCCTCCTCCTTCTCCTCCTTTACCTAATAATTGATGATGAATTACTTGAACTAATCTTCAGATCTATGTAATGAAATAAATTACATAACATATATGAAATATATACAAATGTAGATTTAATCTTCCTCCTCCTTCTCCTCCTTCTCCTCTTTCTCCTCCTTCTTCTACCTGTTTATCTCTAAGCAGAACTCTGCAATATCTAAGTTTAAAGCTGATGTGAACGGAAGATCAGTTTTCCAATCTTCAGGTTCCACTTCGTCCAGTTTCACTCCGCATTCGAAATATTCGGATACAAAATTCCTGAAATTGAATTTTCATAATTTTCAAGTGCAAGTTAACATTTCATAGATTACATTAATACATAAATCTCGTTCATTTTAAAGATTAATCCTTTATATATTGTGATTTAAAATTGCAAAGTTTACAGTGTATTCTGTACACTGTACACTCTAAAAAGTGGTAACCGCAAAAAAAGTCCTTGGAAAAAAGTTTCCGGAAAAAAGTCCTAAAATTTCACACTAAAAAAGTCCTGTGGAAAAAAGTCCTTTTATTAAAAAGTCTCCAAAAGAAAGTCCTACCAATTCGAGACTTTATTTTCTAGGACTTTTTTTCTGGCTCTAGTATGATTTTATACAAAAAAGTCCTCGGAAAAAAAGTCCTCTAACAAGTATAAATGCATGATTCACAATTCTAGGTTTTTATTTTCCTCTGATTTATTTTCTTCAGGACTTTTTTTTCCTGAGATCTTATTTCCTGAGACTTTATTGGCAGCCCCCATACTATATTAGGAAAAAAGTCCAAGGAATCCAAAACACCGGACTTTATTTCCAGTGACATTTTTTCCAAGGACTTGATAAAATTCGGACTTTTTTTCCAAAGTTTTTATTTCCAGGGTTTTTTTTCCAGAAACTTTTTTCCCGGGACTTTCTTACATAGATTTCTGAAAAGAATATTGAATATTCTGAAAAACTCTGCGAAGTGCAAGAAATATATAAACCATGAACCGCCATATCTGATGCGTCAAATCTGTGTACTGCAGTGGGAGGAGATCGAAGCAAAGAATTCAGAAGGAACGCATCATTTTTGTGGGAAAAGGGCCCAAGGGGTGGAATAAGAATATATTGCTATTGTATTTTCCATGTTGACCAGAAAGCCTAAAATCATAAGTATTCGCTCTAATTTGATATATTAGCTTGTTTTTTGTTGGACTCTAATATCACATCAGAGCTTTAGTCCTTTCCCTTCAACTTCTGTGGGGGCACTGGGTTTGTTTACATTCCTCCCACAGTGTAAGTACACAATTTGTGTATATCTGAGTTGGGCGTTCCTGTATATAGTTCCTTGGCAAAGTGTGATGTACACTCTGCAAACTGTAATGGACACTCCGAAAACTGTACTTTACATTCTGCCAACTGTAATGCACACTCTGGAAACTGTACTGCACACTCTGCAAACTGTACTGCACACTCTGGAAAGTAAACTGTAAACTCTGCAAAGTGTACTGTATACACTCTGAAAAGTGTACTGTGTACTTTGTAAATCAAAGAATCAAGAATTATTTTTGAAATGATTTTAAAGATTCTTTACTAAATCTTTGATAACTGAGAATCCAAGAAAATGATAAAAAGCTAATTAAGAGAATTCAGGTAACAATAGATATTCAACACAAAGAACTTTATCTCATTAGTTTAAAACAAGTTAAAAATTATCTTTCAGAAGAAAAATCAGGGCGCATCTTTCAATAAGTTTTTTTTTGTTTTTTGGGGGGAAGGGGGGGGGAAGAAAAGAGGGTAGGAAAAAGAAAAATCAGTGCGCAGAGCGTCGCTGGAGAAAAAGTAAAAGAACCGCTTCTTTTTTTTAAAAAGTTCAGTAAACTAAAAAGTAAACTTACTTTATTTGTTCCACGGATGGATTTCTATTCTCAGTTTGATTTAACAAATGTTGAAACCTGGCCAGGACAATTTCAGGATTTATCCTTAGCAATAAAATTGTAAATAAACGAAGTTAAAATTTGCCATTCCATAAACACTTGTTTTTGGTTTGCAACAATTTTTAATAAAGGGACTGTTCACGAGAAAAGTGTCCAAATCACAATTATCCTAATTTCTTTACAGAATTTTTTTTTTTAAGGGTTTGTATTTCATTTGACATTTTAACGATTGGTTGGGTTAATTTCAGGATTCTCTCTTTTTTCCCGAAGATTTTCACATAACCGTTCAGTAAAAACATTTAATGATTTTTATTCAAATCAATGTTTACCTTGGTCATTCAAGCATTAACAGTTAACCCTTCAATTAATCAAAAAAATGAAATTTTTCAAAAATCTTTTTTGAAATTCATGAAATTCTTTTTTTATCTACAAGCTGGAAGACACTCAATTCGAAAAAAAATCCCCCCCCCCCCCTCCAACAACACCCATAATAAAACATGCTTGAACTACGTTTTGAAAACTGTTTTGAAAACCTGCACTTACACAATTGCATTCCTATGACTTATTATAGCATAAATTTTGTTTACAACTCTGGATAATTTTTAATCGAATTAAAAAAAATATATTTATATAATTTTTATTCCTGAGTTTCATGTCAACAAAAGATTTGGAGTCTGAAAATATCTCACTCATCTAGAAAATTTATTATTTTTAAAGGGACTGTAAAGGAAAAATGAAAGGGGGTATAGGATGAAACCTGAGAATATCAGGTTTTCAACGATACATATAAAACATCTATCTTATGTTCCTGTCTCGAGAAATTGACAAACTGTGTCAAAATTATACTAAAACGGGCATATGCCAGATTTTGTTAAAACTTGTAGTATTAAATAGATCATATTCAACAATTACACAACCAATCTGAAAATGACTATATCTCTCGGCAACCTGAAAACCTCAGGTTTGCTCCTGTTATAATTATTTAATTTTTATTTTGCATTTTATATATATATAATTGATAATATTAATACATTTAATCCGTATATTCCGTATTACGTCACCAGTACTTCAGCCAATGGCAGTGAAGTATACTGGTCACGTGATTTCAGTCTGTACCACGTGACAACGATACTGCACTGTCATTGGCTGAAGTGATTGTGAAGTAATACGGACTATGTAGACTATATGTAATAAAATTATCAATTATATCTATTAAAAATGCAAAATGCAAAATAAAAAATTATAATAGGAGCAAACCTGGGATTCTCAGGCTCCTGTGGGATATAATCGTTTCAGATTGGTTGCGTAATTGTTGAATATGATCTATTAAATACTACAAGTTTTATACAAAATCTGGCATATGCCCGTTTTGGTAAAATTTTGACACTGCAGTTTTATGTCAATTTCTCGAGACAGGAACATAAGATAGATGTTTTGTATGTTTTGTTCAAAACCTGAGATTCTCAGGTTTCATCCTATACCCCCTTTCATTTTTCCTTTACAGTCCCTTTAATACTACTCTAACAAGTATAAATGCA